CTTCAGGACCAAAGATGAAAAGTACTTAAAACTGAAGGAGAAGTACAAGAAGATGAAGAATAACCAGCGAAAGGCTAAAGGCCTTATTGCTGAAGAACATGACTGAGCTAAATCATCCGACGAATCATCTTCGGATAAAGAGGATAAAGCCTACGTCTACTTAATGGCCATAGATGTAGATGAAGGATCTTCTGAAGCATCTACATCCTCTGAGCCATCTTCTTCTTCTTCTACTCAGGTATGTGTCCTGAATGAACCCTCTTCTTCTTCTAGTCTTTCTGCACTAGATACGCTGACGGTTGACCTTTACAATGCCCTCAATGGTAAATCGAAAGCTGAAATGCTTAACGTTGATCTTCAAGAGCAATTGAAGATTTGCCATTCTAAGATCAAAGAACTGACCTCTGTTGAGGAAAATCTTAAAGATCAGGTTATTTTAAACCAAGCCATCACTGTTGAACGTGAGAAGGCTATCGCTGAGCATGAGCGAGCAATTGCTGAGCTCAAGGCTGAGAAAGCTACCATTGAAGGGTGGTGCAAAGCTTCCATCAAGGCCTCTGAGATCATTAACGCTCATATCCCGGCCAAGATAACGACTGGTCTAGGATTCTCCTATGATCAGGAAAAATATGTTAAAGACAGGTTCATGCTCAAATTTGGTACCTTCGTCTCTTTTATTCCCAACACTTCTTCCTCTCAGTCCTCTTCTTTTACTGAGAGTCATCTTGAAGGAACTCCTTCGAGTTCTGAGTGCAAAGACAAAGGTAAATTCATTGTCACAGCATCCCATCCCAAGAAGTCTAACAAGTCTAATAGATCTAGGTCTATTCCTTCAGCTTGTAAAGCTTCTTCCTCTTTAGGGACTAGAAAATCTGAATCCTATCAGAAATCCAAGTCACAGCTCAAGGTGAACTTTTCACCTAAGGACTCCAATTCCTCAAAGGTTCCTCCTAGAACCAATAAGAAGGGAATTCTTGAAGCTGGTCCCGTTTCTAGTCTGATACTTCCTGGCCCTAAAGCTACTCTTAGCTTTAGGAAGTGTAAACACTATGGTGAGAGAACACATATTGCTAGTAGGTGTCCTTCTTCCATCAAAGCTGGTTCACCAGCTAAGGGCAAGAAAGTAACCAAGGCTGAGAAATCAACTAAGGTGAAATCATCCATAAAGGCTGCTCTAGCAACTAATGTGAAAACCACTTAAGCCTCTTCTTCAGGCTCAGTGAAGACAACTCCTGCTGAAATGTTTTCAGCATCAGACGTTGTAATTCATACCACTGATGCCTCTTCTTCAGGCTCAGTGAAGACTTCCACTGAAACTACCATAATAGTGTCAAGGTTCGTTCCTCTTTCCACTCAAACC